TACCGAGTTAGTTTAGGTAAAAGACTTGAAAAAGGCTTGTATCATAATCCAACCATTATACAGAACCCTCTGGTTCTATTGTGAGGAACAACCAGAGCCCTCTGGTTCCTTTCACGGAACAACCATATCCCCTCTTGCTCCTTATAAATCAAACACTTTGTCAAAAAGCATAATTTATCCAAAACCATTGGCCATAGGCCAAGTTTTCCCATTCTCAATAACATCACTGCTATTATTTCTAATAAGAGCAACATTCCCGAGTCCTTAAATCACAAAGAAGTAAGAACTCAAAACTATTGCAATCTTAAGAGACATAATAGCTCGAGGTATAATAATCACACATACAAATGTCACCCTTATATCCAAAGGTACACCTCTCCTTGATATGCCACCCTTATAACCGAAGGTACACATTTCCTTGATATGCCATCCTTATCCCATGCTACACCTCTCCTTGATATGCCACCCTTATTTATTCATCAAAACATATAGATTTGTTCCAAACGAAGACAGACCGAAGTAAACCATCTTACTGGAACATCCTCCATAGCTTTAACCACCAAAATCTATAGATTAATTCCAAACAAAGACAGACCGAAGTCACAACCGTCTTGAAAGAATATCCTCTCTAGTTTTAAACACCAAAATCTATAGATTAATTAAAAACGAAGACAGATCGATGTCACAATCGTCTTCAAGGAATATCCTCTATAGTTTTAACCACTAAAATGGTTTCAAAATAGTTTTATCTTAAAACTTTGAAACTCTAGAACGAACAGTTCTTTTAATATCATTTTCCAAACTCAAAATCTCCTTTAAATTTTTAAAATAGGATACCATCCACAACTGTTTTAAAGAAACAAAATCTTTTTATTTTCACAAAACAGTTTCTACAACCCAGATTCATAAAATTCAACTTCAACTGTTAAAAATAGTTTTTACCATTCTTCTGTAAAATCGATCATCAAAACCACATATTTCAACTATCATCAGTTTAAGGTTTTAATATCAAAAACTCACCTTAATATACACAGATTTTGAACATAGCAACTTCTTCAAATATTCACAGAATCTCCAAATCACTTTTAGGCAATATTTAACTCAAGAACTATTTCACCGCCACACACATACTCACACTTTTTCTTCTTTCCAAAAAGTAAGATAAGACTTATCTTATCTTCTTTATATATATAATTAACTAAGGCGATCTGTGAGTTATTAATATTAAACTCTTTAGGGCGGGGAAGTTTTAAATATATTTAAATCTTCACCTTTCTTAACCACGAAGATTGCATACGCACATATCATATCACATGCAGGCATATTATCATATGCGTACACACATAATTTAACATCTTCCATTTATGCATAGAAACTTACTCACACACAAATATATATGATTCCATGCACTTACTTAAAAAAACATGCATGTTATCACATATCCACCTATAATCTCATAAGGGTTACCTCAACTAATGTTGCCTTAAATCCAGGTTATCACATTATCTCCCGCTCAAAAGAATCCTATCACGAAATTCATTTAATCAAACAGCCAAGGGTATCGGGTTCTCATTCCCATGTATCTTTTGAACCCTCGTGATAATGCCACTGTACCTTTAGCAAACTGATTTCTTTGTTTCTCAACACCCTGATTTTTCGGTCTGTCATAGCTTCTTGTGTTTCTATGAAATTCAGTTTACTGTCCAGTTTAATCTCTGGACGCGATACTGCTAGACTTGGATCGGCCAAACACTTTCATAGAATTGACACATGGAAAGTACTATGAATTAGGCTGAGCTCTTTTAGTAGTTCTAATTGATAAGCAACTGGCCTAATCCTCTTGCAAATTTTAAATGGCCCAACATACCTCGGACTAAGCTTACCCTTATTTCCAAACCTCATAACACCTTTCCACGGAGATACTTTTAACATCACAAAGTCACCCACTTAATTTTGTGTTTTCAAAATATCTGTATTTTCAAACTATATTTATGTGTATTCTTTTTTCTTCTGATCTAATGCTTTTGCCTATGTGCTACTAATTTCAGGGGAGGTATTTGAATTTTATCTGATATTAGTTTAGGGGAGAGTAAATGTTTTTAATACTTATCTATATTATAAATGGATGCTTAACTGGTATATTTGAACATGTTGTATTTTTACACGTTTTTGACGTATTGAAGAGTTTTAGGACATTAATATTTTGACCAAGGCTTGGGCGATGAGCATCTTATCCGACCAAGGTCTGACCGATGAAAGTGTATCCGGACAAGGCTTGGGAGATGAGGTTTCAATCCACCCAAAGCCTGGGAGATGTGTTTTATGTTTACAAGCTTGAGCGATGAGCTTGTTCATAGTACAAAGGCATAAGCGATGAGTTTGTTTCATCTATTAAAAGCTTGAGTGATGATTATGTTTCATTTACCAAAAACTTGGGCAATGAACCTTCTCATTGACCAAACTCTTGGGCGTTGAACCTTCTCATCGACCAAAGACTTGGGCGATGAACCTTGTCTCATCGACCAAAGGCTTGCGCGATGACCATGTCTCATCGGTTAAAGGGTTGGGCGATGACCGTATCTCATCGGGCAAAGCGTTAGGCGATGAAGAATACCAAGCGTTTCAATATGTGTGATTTGCTTAGAACCAATCATATTGTGACATGCATTCCATTTTTACGCTATATAAAAGGGTGTTCGGATTCTACTCCACTTTTTACCTCGTGGTTAAAATCTCTCTTTCATCTTCAACTCTATTCATCTTTGTGAAAACTGGGTTCCGATTATATATTTGATTATTTGGTTACGTGATTTTTTAGTATTTGTGATTTTAGGTTTATGTGAAGTATATGTGCATTTGTATGTCCATGCATGAGTATATATTTGTGAAATATGTGCCTATGTAAATGTGTACATGATCAAGTGAGTAGAGTGTTTATGTATGCATGCATGTATATGCATGAGAACCCAGAGGGGGGTGTGTGTGAAGTAGGGTTTATTCATTTAAAAATCTTGCACCACCTATTTTAGGCAGGTTTAAAAGGTGAAGTTTTGGAAAGGCAAGGAGTTGCCCTTTTTAATAAGAAAAGAGGAGTGAGAACACTATGAATTTCAAAAGCTGAAGAAGTAATCTTGAAGTGTGAAAACTGGTTTCTGTGTGATTTCATCTTCAAAGTGAAAAAGGTAAGTTTTCCTACAAAAAGTCTTTGAAATTCAGCTTATAACTATTGTTGGTAAAAATCTGGGTTTTATGATAATGAACTTTCCTTTTAACTGTTGTACGTTCTTATGTTTTTGCATGTTCCGATGAGGCTTGTAATCGGGCACAGTGTTGTCCGATGAGGGCCCCTTATCGGTCATGCCTTGATCGGTGAGGAAGTTGTTGTTGGTCCGGGTTAGGTCTACCATAGTTTTATAGAAACAGTTTGTAGAAGGGGGGGGGGGGATGAATACAAACACAAACAACTTTCAAATTTAAAAATATATATTGATAAAGACGGATAAATACATATTTTTACAAGATTGTATGCGGAAATAGATAATGTAAAGATAACCTATCTAAAACAATCTAAGTTTACGCACAGATAATCTTAGAAAAGAGAAAATATTTGCTGAAATATAAAGAAGAAAATAAGTTGTTCTTTGGTAAGAACTTTTAGAATACTTAAGAGGAATTTAACTTTCTTGAAGATAAGCGTAAGTGTTCTTAGATGTGTGTAGATCTCTTGTGTGTATGCACATTTAATGCAATGCAGTAGGGTTTGAACACGCGTCAAGCTTTTAAGGAAAAGATTGTCCTTTGCTACAGTAAATAGTACAAAAGCTTATTCATGAGCAGACATCCTTTCATGGAGTTGGTGGGTAATAGAGTCAACTATTCGGCTCTGTACGATACTACACTCTAGAAATGGTTTGGGGTTGTCCTTTGTGTGTGGAAGGACAAGACAAAAACAATTCTACACAACAAGCTTCATTTGATCGCTGAATGTTGGAATAACATTAGAGGTCTCTTCAGCATTTGCTGAGGCTTGGGCAGTCTTCACACATATGTTGACCAGATTGTAATCACTGAATGCCGCTTCAAATCACGAACGCACTAGTCTCTAATCTTCAGTTTCAGTCTTCTATTTTCGCTGAAGGTTCTTTGGTGTGAGTTTTGTCAAGTATCGATGTTGTTGTAGGATTTACAATACGTGTTTCAGCAATCACTGAACAGACTCAGTGATGATCGTTGGAACTGAAAGATAGAAACATTATCTATACTACATATATAAGCATTTAAGACAAAGTCTTAAATACAAGCCTTTAAGCATAAGTTACAATCATTTTATGCATGATTTTCAAAAAACTCTTAAAAACAAGTCACAAAGCACAATGTACAACCAAYTTATACATAAAGTTCAAAAAGACTATAAATCACAACTAACAAAGCATAATGTACAACCACCAATACCATCAAGGTTGAAACTTTGAATTTAACTTTTTTAGTTGAAGCTTTTTCATCCTCTTTTTACAGCTTTCTTCCATCCATCTTTACATCTTTCTTCCATCCATTTAGTAAGTTCAAACCTTTCTTCCACCCATTTAGTAAGTTCAAACCCTTCTTTCTTGCTTCTTATTTCTCTTTTCCCTATTTACAGCTCTCACCTGAAAATTGTTTYAGCTTTTCTTTACTGTGAACAMCACATCACTCGAGGTCTGTATTTGGTGCCTTGTTCAAGAAACCAGTAGAAACAAAAATACCTGCATAAAACTGTGTGGCATCCAGCCTCTTTCTCTCAATCACATTCGCATAGTAAGCTTCTTCACTGCAATTACCCCAACCCTCCAAACCCTTCCCGGCAGCCACTCTCCATCTCCGACAACTCCCTTCTCATGGCGACTCCCCCACCCTCTTCCGTTTTCCGGCTACTCTTCTTTCTTTCATACAGGTCCCCGATCCTTGTTTCTCTTCCCTTCTATGTAACCCTCACCCCACCCCTTCATCTTCCTATGATGCACTTGCAACGCCATTCATAAGAGACGCCTCCAAACCTTTTGGTGAACATCACAACGCCTGCAAGAGATGAACAGAGAGATAGAGAAGCTAAGATATATTTTCGTCACAAGAGGCAAAAAGACAAAACAGTCCAGTTGTTCAGTTCATAAACAGTAGACCACAACATGTACAGGTTTGATATTTGTGGCTTTTGAGTGTCTACAATTGTCAATGTCTCTATGGGTCTATACTTATATACTACTGGAGTAATACACACCATCTACTGCTCACTGCTTATGGATTACAGCAGCGGCAACAATAATAGGGTATCATTTGATCTATAGCTAAGCAGCTATGGATGGTATGTGAGCAATAGGGTTTTCATAGCTGGTCTCATGAGAAGTTCCTTGACAATGAGCTAAAGGACGCAGTTTCAGACGTTGCCAGGAAACATACTAAAGAGGGTAAAGTAAGTGCTCCATCCTTTTGGACTTTGGTTAAACAACGATATGTTTTTGATTGACAAATCATCACAMTATTTACAGTGCCATACCCTACCCCTCTCCTCCGTATATTCAAATACTTCAATATACACACATAGAAATAATATTCAAGATTTCTTGAAAAAATAACCCATGGATTTTCTTTATAATGTTCAGAAAGAAAAAATTGGGGATCTGAAGATGCTCGGTAAAACAAACGAGGCTCCGACGAGAGAGACGGGAAGTTCTGTAAGGGTGGTTGCCCCTCTCCTGCCACCACATGATCAGATCATGTTTTTCGACAAAAAAAGCAACGGCCATTGATTTTGAAAACCATTTAACCCAAAACTAGATCATTGATCTTCAATTTAACTAAATCACAAAAACCCATGAATTTTTTGGGTTTCTTTGATTAAGAGTCACGATAATGTTTTGAAATTTTACATTTTTTATTGGACAGGAAAGGAAAAAAAACATTGACAAATCAGACGGAAGAAACCAACTTAAACACTGGAACTGAAGATGCAAAAGAAAGAAAAGGGTTCGCAAATGGGAAGACCAAAGCAAGTCAAGAATTAATTATAGATATATATATATATATATATATATACACATATATAGATATGTATAGAGAGAAGGGGGGGAAAGAAGGTAGAAGAACACAAAGGATCTCTCTCTCTCTCTCTCTACACATATCTTGAATATAAACCTAGAAAGAAAAAAGAGAACGGGGTCTAGAGGTCTGAGGGTAAGCAAGAAGGACCCAGAAAAGGTGCTTTGAGGACTGTGAAAAAAGAAAAAAAGAGAATGGGGTAGTCTTGATTGTTTTTTTTACTTTTTTTTTAACCTCTGATTTTTCGTTCTGTAATAATAAGGTTGGTAGAGTTAAAGTGAGAAACATAAGAACAGATTTTCATTTTTGAATGTACATTAGCATGAGATATTTCTATGTCTTCTCCTATTGCGTCGCCGAAGAAAAGCATCGGTCTTTCTCTTATTTCAGTTGCCATATACTAGATATTTCTACCAATGTTCCATTTGCTAGAAAAAGTTCACTATTATAGTATGCAATACAAGATTCACCCACTGTGTGGCTCAGATTATGAGTGACTACATGAAAATGATGTTATACAACGTAGATATTTGTGCATATCTCTCTAATTGGAGGATAATTTGGTCTCTATGAGCACCAAAAAGCTTAAAAAACCACAAGAACAAAAGAATTAACGAACCTAAATTGTTCGATGAAAAAAGAAACTTACTTGTCCATCTTCCTCCATTGGTCGAYTGCAAAAATAAGGAACAAAAAAAAGGCATCGTGAATAAGAACCCCAAAACAGAAGCATTTTTAACCATCTAGGGTTTAATTAAACGCGAATTGCGTAGGAAATTTATAATTAGATTACCTCATATTCGATTTGCGAGTAAGACCGACGGAGTAGTACCTGAAAACATAAATTTTTGAATTCGAGAATCAGATTAGGGTTTAGGGTTGTGGATATAAAACCCTAATGGAAATATAGCGGTAAAGGGAGTTAAAAATCTGCATCAATTACCACAATGGAAGCAAATGCTAACGAAAATGAAAGATAGAATTGAATGGTTTAATCGACGAGGTACCTATTTGCGACGGCGGGAAGACGGTGGAGTAGAGCTTAGATCGCTGCTGAACGATGAAGACGGAAGAGAAACGACGGAGGCGGGTTTATGAGCCCTAAACCATTTTGCATCCAGGTCATTTCCAAAACCGCAGGTGGAAGGCACGTGACTCCATTCTTCTCCTTTATGGTATTCCTTATAAATTAAAATCTTTCATATCTATACTACTTTATAAACCAAATTTATCAAAAGTATTAAAAACAATTTTTAATGTCTAAAGTATTATACATTTATGCGCAAAGTCTTAAAAATCTTAAAAACAAATCATAATGCATTAAGTATTACTACTACTTTATGCATATTATTACATTTTCTTTTCTTTTTCCCAAAATACTTTTGACACATTTCACTCATGTCTTCACCTTCTCATACCTCTATGTCTTCTCCTCATCCCCCAATGTGAGATTCAAACTAATATTCATCATGAGTTTTTAAAAGTTCTGTCATTCATCTCCTATTCAATTGCTCTAGAACTTTCAGTCTCGCTCTCGATCTCTTGATTCTTTGCACTTGTTGTAAATTGAACACATTTGTGGAGTCATTTAAATATGTTGGATTTGAAATATATTGGATTTTAAACTGTTAAACAATTTTTTTCATCGATATACTGTAATTGGAACCATGACTCTTATTTATTCAAATTGCATTAATATTTAAAGACCAAATGTAACTTATATTATCATTAAATCTTCTCTAATAAAACCAGTGAAACTTCAAAATCGTTAAAATTCACGGCTCCCGATGCATTGCACGGGTACACAACTAGTACTTCAAAATAGATGAAGATTATCATCAAATCAATTAGAGAGAGGATCAACAGTTGTGTTCAGTCACACCTCGCTAAAGCGGAAACGCAAGATGCAACAGGCAAGCGTGTCACATCAACAATTAATAGATTACAACTTTAAGTTTTACATAATAAAACGAGTTTAATATTACAACCAAAATTTTAAAAACTCTTCATTTGCTAAACTTCCGATTGGAACTAAATCAGCTTTGCCCCGAGTATGCTCCCAAGTGAAACAAATCTTACTTACCTCCTGAAAAGCATGGAACATAAAACGAGTCAACTACAAAGAGTTGGTAAGCTCACAGGTTTTCACATGCATAAAACATTTTAATGCATAATCCAAATATTTGCAAACTTATGCAATACTTTTGCACTTAATAAATGTAAATCTTCATGATGTAGGAACTTGAGACGCTATTAAGCCTTACCTAACCAACTGCCCCATTAATTTACGAACAACCATAAGTAGCCCGTACACTACTTAGGTCCCACAGTTCGATATAGTACTAATTCAGCGGTGGTCCAAATTCCACATGATTAGA